ATATATATATATATATATATATATATTAGTCGTGTCAACAAAATACAGTTGTTAAATAGATAGTAGTACAAATTTTCCCGAAGAAAAATTTCAAGGTTCCATTTTGTAATTGTTCCTTGGTCATATTTTAGTAATAATTTTTAGTAATATTTTAGCATTTATTCGTCTTTTAGTCAGAGAGAAAAAGGACATGTTCTTTATGATATTATAGTAATTTATATGTAATTATAAATAGTTGAAGGATTAAAATCCAAAATCCCATTCATTAAAATTTAAAATTATAAATAATATTTTTACACCTGATTAAGAGCCTCATTAAATCCAAAGTCTTGGAGTAAATTGTCATTTTGTAACTTGACTCTCCCGAGCCTCAAACCAAGTAAAAGAAAAAAAAGAAGAAGAAAAGAAAGGAAAGAAGGGAAGAAAAAACATTTCTTCTAATTTTATTTTCTCATTCATGTTGATTATGTTTCATTTGGAATCCTTATATACCTTATTCATACATGACTTAGGATCTTTCATGTTGGATTAGTTTTATAATAATATTATATTACATATGTTGTATGATACTATAACATGATAAAAGAATAATAATATTATTATATTGTATATGTTGTATGATACTATATATGGATGGTATAATAGTATCTCCATTGATAGGCACAAAGGCTAGTAGGGCAATTCCTTTTCTTGTTTCTATTATCATAACTCTTTTAACACTATATTATCAAGTCAATTATTTGATTCATTAAAGAGCATATTATTTTAAATTCTGATGAAATAAAACTATTATAGATAAAATATAAAATTAAACTTATCATTCATATCTCAATAAAAACAATCACAAAACTCAGTTATGTTGATCATTTATAACTGAGTCATCTTTTATCTTTACTTATTGTTTAGTATCTACTATTATTATTATTATTATTTATTTAATTGCATTATAAATTATATTTACTATTATTATTATTATTATGTTACATAGAGACGTAAGTAATACTGCCTATAGTTACGTTAATACGATGTGATCACCAACATTCGAAAACGATTGCTGCGATCCTACGCGATTCATATATAACTGGACGGTTATAGATGTCTCCTCATAGCCGTCCATCCTCTGATTTCAACACGTTAACGGAGCCTCAACCCATCAAAGGGAAGGATGAACGGAGCGATTGGGAACTGAAAACGTCAAATTACATTGCGAGTTGGAGAGGATCTCTCTCTCCCTAGAGAAACCTTCCCCACGGTTCTAGAATTCACCCCGATCGTTCCTTTATTCGTTCCATGCGAGCCTTCTTTCCCTTTTCTTTGGCTTGGTCGCGATAAAAGCGAGAGAGATCGGTGTGAAACTCGGACGTGTTTGTCGTCGGAGCTCGATCGCCTTCAGCCTCTCTCTCTCTCTCTCTCTCTGCCCTCCTTACCCGTTGGCGAGTCGGTGAATCGTGCTTCCGAGACCGCCCTCCTGCATTCAATCGATATCGAGGTGCTTTTTCCACTTTTTCTTTTGAGATTTTTTTGGTTGTTTGATCGTTTTAGATTTTATTCGGTGTCTCCTAAATTGGTCATCCAAAATTCTATTGATAGGTTTTGGACACCAAAAGAAATCACTAACTGTAAGAGTTTTACAGCTTTGTGGAAGGTATGGTGGTTTTATCGTCGCTGTATTCTTTTCCTTTTGGTGTCAAAAGTGGGGCTTTTTGGCCGATTGATTCGTTTCTTTTAGTGATGTATCCCGATCTTGACTCTAGAAAATTTGGCTGCACGGATGTGTAACGGGATCTGGTTAAAATCTGTCCTTTCTCCGTTATTACTCATGGAAATCGACGTTGGCGAGCCTTCATTAGTTAATGATCTTGTTTGTTTCACTAATACCTGGCGCCTTCAATCGATATGTTACGTTCTCGAAGTTGCATCTTTTCCCCCTAAATCCTCTGCCGGAATTTAGAGAATTGTGATTGAAGCCACAAAGTCGATAATATCCAAGTGTATGGCTACGTGTTTTATAAATCTCGAGTAGTTTAGATTTTTTAGCATATCAGCTTTTGGATTGACCTTTTTTGGTTTGGATTATTAATTGTTGCCTTACCTTTCATTTATTAAATTTGGATTATTTCTCTAATGTGAATAAATTAGTTTGCATCGCTATTCATGATGTTCGATTTTTATTTTCTTTAAGTAATCACATCTGTTGTGTACCATTGCACTACAAAGGATGCACATGATAGGTTGTTATCAAATTGCCCGTATGAGAAATTTGATTTAGAACGTGACATGCTAAATGTACTTATGAATCATTGTGTTGACGTCTCTTTTGCTCTTTTCATTAATCGTTTTCTTTCTCATGCTAAATGCACTTTCCAGATCACATACACGAAATGTATTGTTGCTATTATGAGCCACCTTATAAGATCTTCCGCAAGTTCTAATGGCTTCATTTTTTATTTTTATGTATATTTCATGGTTAAACTACAGAATTATAACTGTAATTTTTATGCATTAGGCAGTTGCATATGTTTGTACTGCATGATAATACAGATACTTGAGAAGGTCAAGGTTTGATCTGATGAAATGTCTGCAAATGCTTCTCTGTTTTTCTCATGGTATATTCGGTTTTTATCAGAGGCTGTTCCTCTAGATTAAGGCAAGTTAATTGCTTGATCTCAGGCTGTTCTAACTTCTGAATCTCATTGTTGCAGGTCCTGTCCATTGAAATCCATGTTGAATCACTTATGTTGCAATGACCTTTGAATTCTTTGGACATAAGTGACTGTTGGTTTCCTTGATGAGCTCGAGAATATCAACATCGTCAAGCATTCATCCTCCCATGGGGATTGCCTCATTGGAGTCACAACAGTCATGGCCATCTTCAACTCCTTTCAGTCAACCAGAACCAGGAGACTACGATGATGACAATGGAACTGAGCTGCTGTCGGTGTCTTGGAATCAGGACTATGGGTGCTTTGCTGTTGGAACAAGCAACGGCTTCCGGATATATAACTGTGATCCCTTCAAGGAAACCTTTAGGAGAGACTTGAAAAGTGGAGGATTTGGAATAGTAGAAATGCTGTTTCGTTCTAATATCCTGGCTCTTGTTGGTGGTGGTGCCAATATGCAATACCCACCAAATAAAGTTATGATCTGGGATGATCATCAGAGCCGTTGTGTTGGTGAATATGCATATAGATCTAATGTCAGAGGTGTGAAATTAAGACGAGATCGTATTGTCATAGTTCTTGAGCACAAGATCTACGTGTATGACTTCACAGACTTGAAGCTTCTTCATCAAATAGAAACTCAATCTAATCCAAAGGGACTTTGCTGCCTCTCACACCATTCTAGCACTTCAGTGTTGGCATGCCCTGGTCTACGTCGGGGAGAGGTCCGTGTTGAACATTTTGGTTTGAAGATGACAAAGGTCATTAGTGCTCATGATTCTCAGATATCTTGTATGACCATGACTTTGGATGGGTTACTTCTTGCAACTGCAAGCACAAAAGGGACTTTGATTAGAATTTTTAACACAATGGATGGTACACAACTACAAGAGGTAAAACTTCAAACTTCCTTATGCCACTGACCCGACAAGGAAAACTAGGATAGACACCTCCATCTCAGTTTTACTGGTTTAAGTTTTTTGCATCACTTATTGTTCTCATAATGGTTTAATTGTGTATCCTAGTCATGGTATTTGTTATCAGCATCATGCTCGACCTCCTTTAATGGTTCCTATGTTGTTGTATAGCTTCAAACAAATTTGTCACAATGTACTCATCTTCTTGCTACCGTCAATAGATTGGCCAAATGTTTATGACAATAGCAGCTAGTTGCATAATAATAATTGTTGCAACTACACATCTTCACCAGGCAAAAGCTTTGCATTTATAAGTATGTTAATATGTGTATATTGCGTTATGTTTAAAATCATGGTATGCTGTTGTGAGTATGACTAAATTAATTACATGCCATGAGTGCTAATACATTGTTATTTGTTAATTTCCATGAGTTCTAGAAAACCCTGAAACTGCTGCATCCTTGAATGTCTTTCTTTAATGATATTACCTTTCTTCTCATTATGCACCTAAATATCTGTCATCTGTCTGTAGGATTAGATGGGTGGATTGTCTCTTCTTAAATATTTGAAGTTCCATACTTCTATGAGGTTTTTCTTAACTTCTTCACCAACCTAGCATGCTATTTTTTTTTTTAACTTTCTAGATGCTTGAATGTGCACTCATCCATTTGGAAAATCTCCTTTTTCATGCAATAAATTTCTCAGATATTTAGTATTTGGTTAGCATGATAGATTCAGTTGGGGCAAGCAGCGTCACAATGGCTTGACATTCACCACAGTTAATAGTGATCAACGACTGAGCATCCATTGATCATACAAAAGTTCATTCCTCTTTGAACACATGCACAAAAGTAGTTTTCCCAACTTGGCTTGAGCTGACTGCACCCAACAGCTAAACAGAAAAAACCCCATATTGTGCTTGTTTCTCTGCATAATTAGAAAATTAATATATTCATAATTAAAGTTAGGCATTTTGATGATCCTTTTAGCCACTTTTTAGGCTTGGAACATTTTCTGCTCTATTAAAGAGTTATACATCACTCACAAGTTACAACTATGATTTTTTTCATTGTTTCTGCAACTTTTTTTTCGTCGTTTAATGCCAGCTGGTGAGACTGCTACATGTGCAGGTATAATCAACACCATTTCTACCTGCTGATTACGCTCTTTTTTCTCTAGTTCATGGAAGAGATGCACTCTTCCAAGAGGTCGACTTAGCTAGAAAATATTATTGTTGGGAAAGGTAGACAATTGTTGAAGATGTTGGACCAAAACCTTTCCAATGTATTTATTTCAGGGAACATGTGAAATGATTGACAAGGATGTTGTAAGAGGCTGAACAGGCCATATGTGTAGGCTACCTTCCAAAAACTGAAAACTATAGACTAATATTATATTTGGACTAGAACTTCTTTAAGACTGGCCTCTAAATCTTTCGTTTTTGGCCATCTGGTCTTTTTGGTATTTTGAGCTGGTTGAATCTTTTGAGGATCAAAAACAGGGTGTCAGCCCTTATCAGACTCCAAATAGGAATTCCTATCTTTGGATTGTTCCTAAACATGGTATAATAGCCTTGTTTGAACTTGTTCAATTCCTCATCCCACAGGAATCCCAAGCCATATTCTCACTCATACAAGGCTACTGGCTCACATGTGCAAGCCTCAGAGGTGGGGACGGAAAAGACATGGAGACGTGGATATAAGAGCTCACGGAATTTGGTTGGTTAATGTAGTGGGAAATCAAGAACCATGTTGGCAGGGGCAAAGTGGAAAGGCTGGTGCCATGGTATTTGGGATTGCACAATCATCTTAAGCATTGCTTCATAAAAGACATTGCTGTTTAGTTCTTCTCATAAGTCTACTTGCTCCAGGTTTGTATAGCAATTGCATCTAGCCTTTACTTGTATGTGTATGCTAGGGTTGTGCAAGAATATTCCTAATATAAGAGGTCCTCTCGATGTATAATACTCCGCCAATGTGAGGTTGGGTCCACGTATGTAGCCTTATCTCGTTTCTAAGACTCAATTAGGGCAATGTTACCATGATGACAAAATTCACTAGGAATATACCTAATATATGTGTGATGATCTGATGTTCAATATGGTAAGAGATCAGTAAGGATAGCATATTTGTGGATAGAGATGGTATGATTGAGAAGGACTGACATGATTTCTAGTTCAATGAACACCACGCTTAGCAAAGAGCATAGAAGTTAGAGGATATCTTCAAAGCAGCTATTTATGCAAATTTTTTCACAAGTTAGGCTGGATTAGGAGCTTTCGTCTTCTTAATTTAAAAATCTTGATTTTACGTAGATCTCTCTCAGAAATTTGAAAACCATCAAACATTTCCCTCTTGTTTGGCATTAATAGTGCAAGACTAGCTAAACCATGGTTTAATATGTGTGGACTGTGCCTATCTGGGATTAAGGCCATATTTAACAGGCACCTAGATCTGACTACTTTAATGGGCATATCTGAAAAGTAGCATAGTTTTGTTTGGAGGAAATGATTTTAATGATAACTGGTCTATAGATATATGTGTATAAGATACACTATTGGAGGAAAGGACTCTAATGGCAATTAGCAAGCAAACACGGACATCATCGGAAGGGCGTATATTGGATATTTTAATTGCAGATAGTAGGTCTTTAACAGTCTGCAAATTGCATCTAACTTCAAGGGCATAATTGTAGATTTCAAATTCCGGGGGATATTAAAAAAAAAATTAAGATTTTAGTGGACATGCTTGTTATTTCTCACTTTCAAATGATGTATGGAAATTTCCATGTTTGTATAGTTTCTATTATTCTGTTGTTGCAAGCTGAAAACTAGTTATTTAAATTTTTATTACTAAAGATGTCTTTCGCTTGCTTTCTTTGTGAACGATGTTCTCCATTAACATTCTCAATAGAAGTTGCATCTTGCTGTCAGGGACAAGTATATCAAATTTCAGTCTAATCAAAATAGGATCTTCCATGATTTAGATCTAAGATCCATATTGCCTCTGAATTACATCTAGGCCAGATCTTAGTTCATAAGCAACCCTGGTTTGGTTTACTAGTTCAGATTCTAGTTTCACAGTAAAAGTGATAGATTTATGTTGCTTGAATAGGAAGATTGAAACAAAGTAAAAGTGATAGATTTATGTGATTGAATAAGATTGAAACAAAGGATGATCAACATACCCCTGGCACTGATGAAATGTTGTTGGTGGCATATATGCAATAAATGAAGGCCTGACTTAACTACTAGCCCTCAGCTGTAGAAACTGAAATAGGGTTTTTCAATGAAGCAACTCTAGTTCTATGATACACAAGTAAGAGGAAAGTCATAGCCAGGGAGATGCAGCAGGTATCTCTTGATATCTGTTTGTTTGGCATGATATGATACTAATGGTGCAATCTTTGATTGATGCTCTATTTCAGATATTAATATTTGATACCATTCTTCTCGCCCATTTTTGTCTAAAATTTATTAAATTAAAAATGACTTTGGGGAAAATTAGATGGTTAAGGTGTTTGAATTTCATTGAAGCGGTGCGCTTCAGTGAAGCGCCTCTTGGGCGCTCGCCCGAGCCCAAGCGTCGGACGCCTCGGGTGAGCGCTCGGTTCAAACAAAGCAACCAAACCAGACTATTAAGTTGAATAGTAGCTAGTTGGTTCGATTGAACCAACTAAGCTACATATTATTACTATACTTTCCAAACCCACATCTGCCCGTGCGATCCCAAGCCATAAACCCTAGCTCAACGGTTGCCACCATCGCTGATGTTCCTCAGCCGTTGCCTCTGCCACCGACGCATAGGACCAATGCTTCCACTGTCATTGACAGACTAGTCCGATGGTCTAGCTTTCATGCGCAATTCCCTCCGTTGTTGCTGCTTCTATGTGTAGCTCATTCCACCACTGAGGGAGAGGATCATAGCTTCCTTTGCTACTGATTGACACCTTTGAAGCTTCCTCTGTTCACGATGTCGTCGTCTGTGGCTTCCGCCATCGTCCCTGTTGTCGTTCGCAACTTCCTTCGTCGTTGTTGTTGTCATCCGAAGCTTCGTCCGCTGCTGCTGTTACCATCCATGGCTTCCTCCACCGTCGTCGTTGTCCGAAAGTTCCTCCGTTATCGCTGCCTTCTTCTCCACTTTTTACTGTCGGTGACTCTTTTATCCTCCTCTAACTACTGTTAATAGTAGATTGTTAACTACTGTTATCATATAATAATCCCTATTATATTTTAACACTGTTAATATCTATTTATTTGGAATTGTTACTAGGATTTTAGGATTAATGGCAAGTGTACAATTCAGAAGATTCATAAAAAAATTCAAGAAAGGATCTTGCTTAGAAACACAATTATCTAAAGGATCCTAAAGATCCTAATGCAATTACTTGCATCTTTTGTGATAAGACTATTATAGGTCATATTTTCCTTGCAAAACAGCATCAAGTAGGGAACTTCAAGAATGCATCAGCATGTAAGACGTGTTCACTTGATGTAAAAGAAGAGTTGGTATCTTATATGAGTAAAAAAAAGATGCAAAGGAATAAACCTTATGAGATTTTACCCGCAGATAATGTTGAACATATTAGAGATGACGAAGAAGAAGATTATTCAGTAATTATCAATCCAAGTAGGAAAATAGTATTTTTTTTAATATTTTAGAGCGCCTTGCTTCGCTCGAGCGAGCGTCTAACTCCTAGGGCATTGTGGGACCTTGGCGTCTTTTGGTGCCTAGCGCTTTTTAAATCATTGATTTGATATGGGCAACACTAGGTCATATCTATAAGGTTTTTCCATCTTTTGGTGAAGCTTACCAAATCTCCCATTCTGATCAGATGAAGCAAGACAAGACAAACAGATTTTGGACTTTATTGGCAAGGCTATTCTTCACTCTATGTGGCTTTATATCCTATTTATGTGAATTATGTTTCTCTAGCTCATTGTGCTTGCCATTAGATGCAATGATAGTTAATTGCCTTGACTTCTATGTTTTGTGTTTGCTAGTTAATTGCCTTCTATATCCGTCTAAGATTTTGCTGTATATTTGCTTGTTAAGTGTGTTTTAGTTACTCATTTCTGATCTCTATAATTAAAGGTACGGAGAGGATTAGATAGGGCTGAGATATATAGCATTGCTCTCTCTACAAATGTACAATGGCTGGTCGTTTCCAGTGATAAAGGAACTGTCCATGTGTTCAGACTTCGAGTTAGAGTGGGTGGGGAAGATGCCTCTTTCCAGCTTCCAGCTGTTCAAGCTCCAGAAATGGTACATCAGAACTCTTCTACTCCAGTTGATGCCCTTATATCTCCGAACACTGGAGCCAACAACAACTCATCATTATATTTTATGAGAGGTTAGGCATCTCATGCTCTATTGCTTCTTTTTTTCGTCTTTGTTCTTGTGGTTTATGTTTGGAATGTAGCTGTTTTAACAATACCGTCAGTTTCTGGTGTTCTAGCTATTTTATTCACAATGGATTTTTTGCAAAATGTCTATGAGTATGAGATTGAAGGAATGAGTATAGTCATGATCTCTAACTAGAAAGCTTTTGGTTCTGAGTTAACCATATGGAGCTTCTTGATCTACAAATCATATTACCATGTTGGTGTTATATCTCTACTTCTACTGCAGGTTTTATCTAAAACCTCATCATGGAAAACTATGTTCAGCTCTATTGTTGATAGTATTTGTTTCATTGCTATCCCCTGGTCTAGAACATAGAGCTTGAAGTTCAGGTTGCAATTCTCATAGGGTTCAAACTGTTAAAAATATTCACTGGGTGACCATCGGGGTCAATTCACAGGCCTATGGTAAGCCAACAAAAAACACAAAAAACAAAGAAAATGGCTAACTTCTTAATCTGGAACTTCAGATCATTATTGACTGGAAGATTAAACCAATTGCCAGAACGAGGGCACAAACTGACACATCAATTTGTATAACACAATTCTGCTGGGTTGAGAATTAATTATTAAGTACTTGTATGTAAAAGTGCACCTCAAATTAATGCTAGATTATGAAAGTTATTTGGAAACTTTAAGCATCCACCTCAAATTTTGCACAAAACTATTTTGCTGAAAGAAATTGTAGTTGAATAGTTTTATGATGTGAAAAAAAGGTGAAGTAAATTTTTCATCTGATTGTTATAGTATTTTGTTGGGGGAAAACTGATTCTTTAGTATGTGACAATTACGTCATGGATCTGCTATCATTATTGCAACATTAAGAAGTGCATTGATTTGGTAAAAGCAGGATATTTTCTTATGAACTGAAATCACCCAGGTGTCCTGCCAAAGTACTTCAGTTCTGAATGGTCGTTCGCTCAGTTTCACTTGCCAGAAGTTACACGCTATATTGCTGCATTTGGATCTCAAAACACTGTCATGATTGTTGGCATGGATGGCAGGTATTAATCCTCCTACCTTATTATCTTCATCAACCTAGATGCTTGGTTTCTAAATCATTATGTTTGCATTTTGTAAATCTTCTTGTTACGTTAGGTACTTATTTCTTGCCAATCAATTAAGGATATTTAGTCACCAAATGTTTGTCTTTTCCATATCACTTGAGTTAGAAAATAAGAATGGTCTAACCTTGATTACATCAGGCTAGGTTCTGGAAGCAACCTCTAGGTGAATGGCAGTGAATATATTTTCTACATAAGATATTTTTCAGTAACATGATGCATAAGAGTATTGCAGTACCTTGTATCTTGATCAACCTAGATGCTTGGTTTCTAAATCATTATGTTTGCATTTTGTAAATATCTTCTTGTTATGTTAGGTACTTATTTCTTACCAATCAATTATTGGCACTTAGCCACCAAATGTTTGTCTTTTCCATATCATTTTAGAAAATAATAATGGTCTAACCTTCATTACCTCAGGTTAGGTTCTGGAAGCAACCTCTAGCTGGATGGCAATGAATATATTTTCTACATAAGATATTTTGCAGTAACCTGATGCATAACAGTATTGCAGTGATGGTTAATTTATGCTTGAGAATCATAAAGAAGTATGGTTAGTGGAATTACAAGAAAACAAGTGGAGTATTGAGAAAAGAAGAATGAGGCTAAGAATAAAGAGAAACAACCCTTGTTATGAATATTTGTCTTGATTTTATCTAAGAAACAAAAATCATGCTGATTTCTTTACAGCAACCCAATGTCTTCTAGGATTCGCTATTGATGATTTCATTTTTGGTCTTACCGGGACCAAGGATTTTGTTATCATGAATAGCTGCCCCACCAGGCAATGCCTGTTGGTCCAACCATGGACTGGTATTCTGGATCACTCAGTTTCAGATCGTGTTGAATGAACCTGTATACCCCAGACCAAAGCTTGTTTTTCTTTACCTGATTTGGTCAGAACCTGGCAGTATAACATGATATTGACTAATAACTGAGTCCTCCATTAAATTACTTAATTACTTCCTTTATTGTTTAATCTGAGGACTTCACTCGAAAAGAAGACCTCTCATAAAAGCAACTTGAAAGCAAGAAATGAAAGCAGGGATGGAAGAAGAGGAAGATAGTACGTCTCCTCCTTTGTTGGATTTTGTGTTTTTCTTTTTGCTTGACACCAGTAACTGGTACACAATGATACGAAAATTAGTCTGAGAAGTGATCGGTTTAGGTTCAATACCCAAAACTAAGATCCTTGATTGAAGCTTCCATAAGTGAAGCTAGATTACCATGTTCAATGAAAAATCTAAAATTTGGAAACAGAATCCAAAAATTCTATTTAAACTCCATAATGTATCAGAAATTCAATTTTAATGGAATGTCAAAACTATAGAAAACCTTGAAGGAATAAGAAGACTTGTATTGGACTCAAATTATCCTTGTTGTATGTCTAGATTTCATCAGTAATTATTTATCTCCAGACATCTACACCTTTCTTTTGTTGTACTTGGAGGATTTTGGTACTTTAACATAGGAGTTGTGATATGAATAAGCTCAATGTTCTAGTTTTCAGTTTCAACTTTCAAGAGGTCATGCGAAAAGTGAATCTAGACCTTAGATAATCATTTATCCAACCAATGTTATCTGTGGCAAGAATTTGACAACGTTGGTTTAGATCCTTGCATTCTTGTTCGTTTATGTTAATATCTGTGACCTGGCTGCAGGTTATAGGTGGGTAAAAAAAGACCATATGCATTTTATAATCCAATAGCTTACCTGTTATTTGGTAGTCTAGTGAGTATCTCTGCTAACTTCTCTTGCTTTTCCTTTTCCCTTTGTCTCCAGCTTCTGTAGGTGCACCTTCGACCCAGTGAATGGTGGCCAGATGTTCCAGACGGAATATGTCCGGTTTCTGAAAGCCGATCGCCATCAGCCACAATCTGTAACCTCATGATCTTGCTATGTCATATGCCCTTAGGGTTTCATGTAGATGATGGTTTCCTCAACCTGTTTATCTAAATACATATGTTCCTTTTACTCGTAAAAAGCTCATAAAGTTTAAGCATCTGGTAAGGACACATGTATAGATACTCTGTTGAATCCTAATTCTGATGTAAAAAAATTGCTCACTCATCTGGCTGTGCAGATATACTAATATGTCCATCCATGCTCTACTGAGCATATGCTGGATTTTATACACCGTAATTACACACTGTAATTACTCTCGATACAGGGCAACTAAATCTCTCATGTTACCGGTTGGTTGTTATACTGGTGCAAGTGAACTATGGCACCTGAGCTGAATCCTTTTTAGTATTCCATGACCTTAGAGATGTTGGTATTGATAAATATTTTTAGATTTTACAGAGTTAGTATCCCAAAGGGATAAGGACCAGTATATCTTGTTTGTAAGTCTTCTCTTTCTTCCCAACAAGCAAGAGAGAGAAATCATTGTGGTAGAGAAAGAAAGATTTACTGATTCCTGAATGCCTACTTGTGTCATGGGTCAAATCATATTGCTGCTTGAGAGCAGAAACTCCAATATATCATGCGAGAGCCCAAAGATTCAGATCCTGAATTATATATATCATAGGCTTCTATTTATAGAGTTGTGAGAAAATATTCTGGAATATTTTGAAGAATAGTAATTTGTTTTTCATCAACTCATTTTATGTGATTGGTCTGACTGTTTTAGGTTTTGTGTGTCGAATCGATTAGCATAATATCATGAATACTTGAAAGATTTCATCAACTGCAAATAATGCCTTCATATTTCCACTCCATATTAACATTGAGAACTTACAACAAAGAGAAGAAATATCAGTCTTAATAGAAATAAATCTTGGTTTGTTCAATGGGGTTTAAGATATTATAAATAAATTTATATTATTTTTTATTTTTGGATGATGTACCAAATTACAGAAATGTAATTGTAATTATTTTTTATAATTTTATACTAAATTATATAATTATATAATTTTATACTGTTCTGTAATATGATAAAATCACTCTTAACATAATTTTTCTTCTTCTTTAATTCAAAAAATAAATTATAAAATAATAGCTTTCTCAAAGAGCCTCCCTATTTTATTTTTATTTTTCCCAAAGGCACCACCCTAATTCGAATAATGCCCAATCATCAACCTTAATGGTACTTTTTCTTATTATTATTATTATTTTTATCAATTTTGAATCATTAAAGTGTTTTTTTGCTCATGTATAGTGTTTTACTAATAAAATACTATATAATATTGTATCTCTTTCATTGTCATTGTATATAATATTCTTAGAGTTGTAATTTGTTTGATTGAGATTAGGAGTCTATTTGGGTCATTTATAATATTCTATAATAGTTGTTTTTTTTTTAATCTCTATTTGGGTGATGTTATTTCTAAACCATTATAAATACCTATTTGTTTCTTAGTATATATCAAATGATTCTTAATTTATTTTGATTTTATTTAGTATTTTTCAATAGCATTATAATGTTTTTGTTAAGGTATTGAAAACACTATAAACCTTTTGAAAAACACCATAAGTGATATCATAGTTTTCTTCTTTGGTTCTTATTGCTCGTAAACTATTATTACAATACCAAAGTTTTAGGCTCGAAGTTTATTTAGTTAAAATTACGAGTCTATTTATATTATTTATAGTATTTTTATTCGTTGTGATGACAAAAACAATATAACGAGCGAAAAAAAAATACAATTGAAATGGATGAGTGATATTTTAAATATTATTTGAAAGAGATGATAACAATTTATAGTATTTTCAGTCAATTCATCCATTTAAAAACATGCAACCAAAGATTTAGAGTAACTCAAAATAATATTATTTATATTTGTAAACGTAAATAAATAATATTAAAATACATAAATATTTATAAAAAATAATTTATTTTATTATTATACTATCGAGTCGGCCACAATAAATCCGTAAATTCCTTAAAAATAAATACCACATGTTTGAAGTTAATAGCATACGTCAAAGGTTTTATGTTAGTTTATTTCTATAGTAAAAAGACCAATAGGCCCCTCGACATGTTGAACTTCCTTCGACGTTAAGGGTATTTTCGTAATCTGATAACGCCTGGGTTTAAGCCGCTCCTTGAGTCCAACCGTCCACGTGGAAGCTCGGCACACCCAACGGCGTCATGTCTCCGTTCCAATCCTCCGTGACGCCGGAGCCACGGTAGCCGTCTGATCGTCCCACCTTCGGTTCACAGCCGCCCGATTCTCGCGGCAGACCACCCAAATCTCCCGCTTTTAAGGCCTCCTAGTTTGCCGGTTTCCGTTACAGTTTGAGCAAGCGGGCGAGCGAGCGAGAGGAGAGAGAGTGAGAGAGAGAGAGAGAGAGAGAGAGAGAGACAGAGTTCGGAACAGAGAAAGGAAAGGGAGAAGCCTTTGCCGAGGACTGCGAACCATAATGTAATTCTTCTTCCGATCTCGGTGTCTCACGATCGAATTCTCTGCATTTGCTCCCGAAATCTTTTTGCGATTACACGATTCGAGATGAATTTTTCTTCTTCTTCTTCTTCGATTTGAATCGAATGCGAAAGATTTCTGCAAGTTATGATCTGATTGTGCATAGATGGATCGGTTTTCTTGATTAATGTCACTCGTATTTGTCGGAGCAAATCGGTTAGGTATTTGATCGACTCAATCGGCATTTTATTGGTAGAATCGTTCACGATGATGTCGGAAATCGGTGAGCACGCTTCGATGACGGAGTGGATTGACGAGAAGATCCATGAGTATAAGGGGTCGTCGTCCTCCTCCTCGGATTCAGAAAACGACAAGCCTTCATCTCATGGTTGGAGGAAGAAACATTTGTTTGGGAGGAAGGCATCGGTGCATGCTGTTCTTGGAGGAGGAAAATGTATGAGCTTTTATTCACAATGCCTTGTTATTTTTCAGATCTTATGCTTTCTGTCATTTGCTATTGATTAATGAAAACGTCAATTCCCTATGTGGAATATGGTAGCCATGTCATATGTAAGGATTTAGGTGCAATTAGATCAACAATGTTGGACCATTGGTTTGATGTAGATGGATGAGATAGAGGGGCGGTAAAAAGATTTATACAAGCATTGCCAGGACAATGTGGAAACATCAGTTTTTAGTGGATTGAGCTCTATAAAATGTCATATTCTTGGTTAGATTAAAAGTTTCTTAAGTCTTTTATTTATGGTTACAAGATAGACACCGACAAAAATGTGAAATTTGCAAGTTAGGAATTAGCTATCGATAGAGAAGGTCAGGGGATAAAATTTATTATGGTAAGGAATGTCTGTATAAATAATTTTGTGAAATATTACATACTTCAGTTGCTTGCTTGAGTTATTAGTCTACCATATACTTATTTTCTATAATAGTTATTAGGGCTCTAGCATGTGTTCTTGAATATGATTCAACAAAACCTAATTCTGTAGGTAATGAGTTTTTTGTGCTTTCAGCTGCTGATATCATACTATGGAGAAATAAGCAGCTATCGGGCAGCATACTTGCTGGAGTTACTGTTATATGGCTTCTTTTTGAATGGATCGGCTATCACCTGCTGACCTTCATCTGCCACTCTTTTATATTCTCACTGGCTGTGTTTTTTGTCTGGTCTAATGCAGCATCTTTTGTCAACAGGTGAGAGCCAACATTTTCTTGCAAGAGTTGACTATGGAAAATGTAACTGTGCTTAATATGTTTTATCGTATGTTGCTGAAAAATAATGATGAGCAGCAATCTACTGGACCATGGATGTTATAGAGAGGCTTAAATATGTTTGCTCATTTATATCTGCTGAAAAATGATGACCATTTCATATTAATGCTGAGTGATTCTGTTATACGCTTATGGCAGTTTCTATAGCCTGGTCTTGTGCCCATTGGAGACTTATGTGGATCAGTTTGTAGGAGTTCATTGTAGTTGATCTCGTTATGGTTCTCATCATTAAATTCTGCTAATAAAAGGATAGTTCAAACCATGGATATGCAAGTTATGGAATTTGATTGCTTCTCTATACATCTATCATGCAATCACCTTTTTCACTATGGTGAAACAACCTGAACGAGTTTGCTTTTTCATGGTCAGTTTGGTGCGGAATATGAGTGCTCTGTCGAGCTACTCTTTCTGCTTTTCCATGGCAGTCCCAATTTCTTCCATATTAGAGTTATGGACATAAATTTTGTCGATGTTTCTTACCTAATTTTTTATATGCAGGTCTCCGCCAAAATTTCCAGAGGTTATATTGCCAGAAGACGTGTTTTTAACCACAGCTCATGCTGTGAGATACAAAATAAATGAAGCTTTTGCAACCTTCCGCTGTGTCGCTTCTGGGAAGGACTTGAAGAAGTTTCTGAGGGTAGGATTTTAATAACTTCAAGCTTTCTTTCATGTAGTTTGCTCCAGATCTTCACAGCTAAGTCTGTCATGCAGGTAATTGGAGGTTTGTGGATCCTTTCAATGGTCGGTAGCTGGTTCAGTTTCTGGACTCTTTTTTACATTGGTCAGTCTATTCTATATGTTGTCTAATTAATTAGAGCTAAAATTTTGAGTTATTTTGGAACTTCTAGTTTGCTATCATGTGGATTTCTATTGCTCCATGGAGCCAAACATAGACTGATGATGCCCCATGTTTGAAATCTTGTCTTATTTCCTCTCATCATCATGTTTGCCCTGTATTCTTGTTTTTTCCCAGAGAAAGCATGCTTCCCACTGTGTGCAGCTAAAATATCACGGACATATTGCAGTGCAAACAAATGAAGCAATGTCGATGATTCCCGAACAAAGAGATAAAACGTAACAATATCTAGGCACCTCTCTCATAGGTTTCTGGCTTCTGGTACCGGTTGCCAAGACATACTAGGAACTAGTAAATGTCTACTCGACATGAATAATAGGAAATATGAGTAATTTGGAAGGCAGCTTAACTTTCATGAAAACTGTCTTCTGCTAGGCCAACTTTGCACGCTGATCATATCAATTATTTACATGATTCTCTCCTTTGTTCTAAGTTTTTAGTCTTAAGACATGATAATAATGAGTGTAAACTTTTGAGGTCTGTTTATTGATACGTCAGAGGCATTTAGGTATGACACAATGATGGTTGCCATTACTTATCTTTTGCAGTTTTCCTAGTTCTGTATGCTACACCTGTTCTCTATGAGAAGTATGAGGACCATGTCGACATAGCTGCTGAGAAGGCCATGGTAGAAATCAACAAGCACTATGCAGTTTTTGATGCGAAGGTTCTCCAGAAAATTCCACGGGGACCTTTCTCTGATAAAAAGCAACACTGAGATGGGAATATGTTTTGAGTTACCCTTGCCCAGAATTTTCTGCAACTGGCATTACTGATTAATCCATGGTCACGGAGGAGCAATTTCTGGAGGATTGAAGTAGATGGAAATAACACATCAATCGAAATCCTGTCTACGTAGCAGCGATGAGCCTCCAGGGAGATGCTTGATCCGAAGCAAATGCAGCAGTGCTATTTTACGACTCTCACTGATTTTATTTTTCCTTCATATTGTAAGACATGATTCAACATCTTGATATCTTCTTAATTGGTAAGTCTCCTGTCACAACATCATGTTCTCATTATTATTGAACTTAATCCAGAATTTGCACATAGCCTTAGTTGTCATATTCTTCATAATGTAAGATGCGGTTCAACACGTTAACATCTTCTTAATCGGTGTCTCACTGTCACTGCTTTATGTTCTTCATTGTTCTTGATCTTAATCCAGAATTTGCGCACAACTTTAGTTGTTGTTTTCTTCAGAACGTAATACATGATTCAACACCTTCACATCTTATTAATTAGTGAGTCTCCTGTCATTACTTTGTATTTATCATTATTCTTGACCTTAATCTAGAATGTGCACACAGTCTTGGTTGTTATTTTCTTCATAATGTAAAAGACATGATTCGAAACCTCGACATCTTTTTAATTGGTGAGTGTCCTGTCATTACTTTTATGTTCTTCAAGAAGTTGCACACGGTCCTAGTTATTATTTTTTATAATGTAAGACCTGATTCAAAACCTTAGTGTCCTGTCATTGCTTTATGCTCATTATTCTTAACCTTAATCCAGAATTTACACGCAGCTTGTTTTTTCTCTTCATAATGTAGGACATGATTTATCACCTTTACATCTTAATTGGTGAGTCTGTGTCATTACTTTGTGTTCTTCATTGTTCTTGACCATTATCCCGAGTTTGCGCACAGCTTAGTTATTATTTTCTTCATAACGTAAGACATGATTCGAAACCTCGATAGCCGGTGAACATCCTGTCATTAGTTCATGTTCTTTCGTTATTCCTGACCTTAATTCAGAATTTGCACAGACTTGTTTGCTACTTTCTTCACAACGCAAGACATGAATTCGACACCTTGACATCTTGATTGGTTAGTCTTTTGCCATTACTTTGTGTTTATTATTTCCGACCTTAATTCACAATTTGCACACAGCCTTAGTTATCTTCTTCATGATGTAAGTAAGACATGGTTCAACACATTGGCATCTACTTAGCTGGTGACTCTCCTGCCACTACTTTTATGTTCTTCACTATTCTCTATTTTGATCCAGAATTTGGTGACTGTTCTGTCATTACTTTGTGTTCTTCGTCGATCTCGACCTCAATCCAGACTTTGCACATAGAATTATGTTGGAACTCAGATGTCTCTAGTGCTGCAAAATCATGTTCCTTTTCATGTATTCATTCATTAGATCATTGATCACTTTCAGCATTCATCGTCTTTGCCATCCTCCACCTCATATCACTAGCAGTTGCTCAAAAGACAAAATAATGAAGAAAAGAGAAGGAAAGCCATGAGGGATCACAAATCCTTTCTCCTTTTGTTGTTCTCCTTTCTCTGTACACCCTCACGAGCCCTAAGGACAGCCATGATGATTTGAGGTTAACATGATTAAGACTTGTTTTGGGACCAATTTAGTACAACCATAGGCGTTCGATCATCGGAAGTTGGGACATTAACTGTGTCATCCCCATCACACATTTGAGGTGTTCGAGCATCTGATTCATTCATTGCCTCGATCTGAAACGGCGCAAGCATTAGTCTCCGATAAATCCGAGAACAAATATCTATCAGTACGACGGACGCCGTCGCTGTTCACTTCCCTGCTGAGGAGCAGCAGCTCATCGTAAGTTTGTCGAAGCTCAGTATCAGCAGAAGAAGAAGATGACGAAGCTGAATTCTCCTTCAGCTTGTCGTCTTTTAGCATGATCTCAATTTCCTTCACGATCTCGTCCATCGTCGGACGGTCATCGGATGCGTCTTCGACGCATCGCAGAGCCAATTCCACAAACTTTCCGAATCCAACGATGCATCCATCATTAAGAATGGATGGATCAATCATGTGTTTCAGACCACAGTGCTCCTCATCCTTCTCATCCAATCCCATCTTCACCTCGCGAACGATGTACTTACCTTTCTGTATCGGCAGCCTACCCGTCATCAGCTCCAGCATTACGACACCAAAACTATAAACATCACTTTTCGCGGTCAGCTGTTGGGTCATGAAGTATTCCGGATCGAGATAACCCTGTGAAGATCAACGGGAACTGAAGAACAGAGGTGATCGAGAAGAAAACTCAAACGATTCAGCAGAATGAGATGAATTAAGGTACCATGGTTCCTTTGACGGAGGTGGAGACATGGCCGAGATTGCTGTCGTTTACCAACATGGAGAGCCCGAAATCCGCGACTTTGGCGGCCAAGTCGTCGTCCAAAAGAATGTTGCACGACTTCACATCCCTGTGGATTATCGGAGGTTTAGCGAGCTCATGAAGGTAAGCTAATCCTTTAGCTGCGTCTAAAGCTATATGAAGTCTCCTTTTCCAGTCCAACTGCGTGTGTCTTCTTCCTGCGGCCAACAGCGTGAGGGTCACAGCTGAGGTGAAGAAGAAGAGGAGGAGGAGGAGCTTAATCTGATGTTCGTGGAGATGATACCGGACAAGTTTTCTGTTAAGGTCCCGTTCGAGATGTACTCGTAGACCAGCATGCGTTCCCCCTTCTCGAAGCAGAAGCCGATGAGCTCGACGAGGTTCTTGTGGTGCACCCTGGAGAGCATCTCGATCTCCGTCTTGAACTCAACCCCGCCTTGCTTCGAACCTTTCTGTGATCTCTTGATGGCCACCGTCGTCCCATCTTGAAGCGTCGCTTTGTAGACCTGAAGAGAGATGCAGCAGTTGAGCCAGGAAGTGATGAACAAGCGGCCAAGAGATGGCGACAATTATAGGTCGTCGGATACCTTTCCATAGCCGCCTGAGCCGATTTCATTGTCCTTGGAGAAATCATCGGTGCACTTCCTGAGTTCATCCAGGGAGAAACATCTCGCTAACTTTAGTTGTGGTGCATCTCCGGCATCTCCACCGGTTGATCCCCACGATGCTAAGACATGTAGAACAGCAATCATCAGAGAGACTCGCAGGAACACACAAGAACCGTTGAACAGTGATAATGTTCTTTCTTGTTTACCGAAAGGATTGTGCAGAATGATGGCCTTTTTAGCTCGCTTTTTCTGCCACAAAGCGTAGATTCCAAGCCCTGCAATGGCCAACACTGCAGCAACACATCCGACTACTATTCCGACGATCAATCCTCGATTCACTGGGATTCAAATAAACGGATGAGTTCTCGATACGAAGTCGAAAAGAGTTCAGGAGTTCTTATCGAAAGCGAGAATTCGATACCCTTGCGCCGAAAAGAGTACTGCCATGGATCGAAATAACAAGGCCCATACATCGCTGAGAGTGCAAGGTTCTCACTGCTGAGATCAAACCACAGCAAGATCTCTCTCCTGGTGAAGTACTTTGCACTCGATGGGCAAATCGTTAGCTGCACTCGCAGATACGCATTGCCATCGAAGTAGTAGTTCGGAAGAGAGAAGCTCACTGGAGTCCCATTAAGCAAGCTTGCGATCCTGTTCGCCATCGGTGCAAGATTGTGACTTATGTCACTGAAGGAGGGCGCTCTGCAAACGATTGGCCCTTCATATGGGTGCAAGCAGTCGGTGATGGAGGAATCAGATCCCGAGTCTTGGTGCTCATGGCAGTACTCTGTCTCATGCAGCTGAGCATTACTGCAAACTGGATTCCCCACGAGTCTGCAGACATCAGAGATCCATCAGGTACACAAGCTCCCGGGGGAGGAAGATGGAGTTTGAGCTTGAGATCCGCTCACAGTATGGTGTTGTTGTAGTCGGAAGAAAGTGTCACCGAGCTTAAAGCATTGTTTCGGAAATCCACCATCTCCAATTGATGACTGATGTTGCTGCCCATGTCGAGGGTGCCACTGAATGCGTTGTCGTTGAGTCTCCTGTAGATTGATTTCAGCAAAGTGATTCTTGTGATGAGATGTTTTATCTTGTCACGAAGGTCTTACAGTTGCTGTAGCTGAGGAAAGCTGAAGAGTGATGGTGGCACTTCTCCATGAAGCCTCCCAGACTCTATGATTCTGATTCCACCGGAAAGTGATGCTTGGCTTAAACTTCATAGCTCATCAAGCATGGCATTTTAAGATTTTAACACTACGTTGACTTACAAAGTCGTGAGATTTTGCACATCCAAAAGCCATTCTGGAAGTTCTGAAGGATCAAACGTGTTGTTGCTTAAATCCCTGATCACGGCAATTTCGAGTTTTTACGAAAAGGCAAAGCATGGAAATACTTGCATCATCTAAATAAGTAGTCAGACATCCTTACAGATAGTTGAGGGCATGCATTCCAGTCAGATTCGGCATCGGCCCGATTAGCTTATTGTTAGCTAAATTTCTGAAGAAAACAAAAGTAATTCCTGAGTCTAGTCCGAGAAATAATTGTTAGCACTGCCGCTGAATTTTTCGGTCACTTACAAGGCATCAAGGAGTGTAAGGTTTCCGATACTAGAAGGAACAAATCCATTCAGGTAATTATTGTCTAGACGGCTGAAAAATAGTTTCTGTCAGATATGATCAACCGAAAGAAGAATGTAACCGATGGTCGAAAACTCACAGGATTTTGAGTGATCGAACGAGACCTATCGACTCTGGAATTTCCCCGGAGAAGTTGTTATGATCGAGAAGTCTGACCACAAGCAATTGTTATCGAGTCAGAAGAATTAATCATAGAGAAAATCAGGTAAATGTTGCTGCTTACATATGTATAAATTTCATATTGGAGCCGAAAAGACTATTCGGAATTCGGCCTGATAGCTGGTTCTGATTCAAATGCCTGTTGAGCAGATAGTAGACCAATCAAACAGTGATGTGCTCGATCTACATGGAAAGCTGAAGAACCACAGAGGCTTACTTACAGGTGCAGAGTGTTCACAAGCTGGTCTAATCCTGAAGCTTCATCCGACGAAGTAGTAGGGAGATGTCCGGTGAGCTGATTACCTGCAAGGTCCAGCCAGGTGAGATTGGAGAGCCTACCGAGCGACGCAGGTATCTCACCGGTGAGCCGGTTCGAGTTCAGAGACCTGGAACATCGAATCCCTGTCCTTTATAATTCTGTAACTCAATTGTATCTGCATGACAAGTGAGTACACAAAGAGTGATCCTTACAAGACATGGAGATTAAGTAGGTTGCCTACTTCGATTGGGATCCGATCTCCGAAATTGCAACCGATCAATCTCCTAAGGAATATTGCAGATCACTGCACATTAGGATCGATATCGGTGAGCTCAGCAGAGGTCAATTATCCTACTGAACTTACAGAACCACAAGCTGCTTTAAATTGCCAATGCTTGGTGGGAGCGGACCACCCAGATTTCGGTTGTAGGAGAGATCCCTGCACTCGTACATCTCATTATAATGCTTCATGAGACTAAACATAATGAATTCCATGAGTAATTTATGCGATCTAAAGAGTGACACTCACAAGTGTTCCAATTCAGAAAGGCTCTGTATGTCACTGTGCAATGTGCCCTCAATTCCCATGTTGAATAGCTTCCTGAAAACATTCGATGGCAAGGCCATTAGAGACTAAGTAGCTCAGGACACACATGAACTGTGCGATAAAAGCACTCACAGCTTCTTCACCCTTGAATCCTTGCAGGTGATTCCTTCCCAGTTGTCACCACAGGGATCATCCGAAAGGCTCCAGCTTGGAGGTGTGTTCTTCCATCGAGTAGATAAAGACTTGAGAGCCGAAACTGTCCGTGTTCGGTAATCATAGTTAGTCCACACTAACACAGATTCTTACCATCAAAATCAACATGACAAGCATGATTAAGTAGCTAATAACGCTTAATATGCACAGCAGAAAACTAATACCATCTTGCGGGTGTGTGCCGCAGGAACCATGTCGAACGCAAACAAGGCATACCAACAGTGGAAGAAGACCTTTCAACGACATCAATGGCGAAGAGAGGAGAAAGTTGATAGGATGAACTACCATCACGGCTGTGAGGTTTCTCATACGGCTGCGGGTTGTATGATCTCTGCCCTCTTCCTCGTTCATTGGGATGTCCGAGGGAGATGGGAGGCAAACAAGGAGGCTTCGACGCAGAGAACAAAGCTAGGAGAAGATTACATGGAAGTAACGTCGGACGCAGGTGTTATAGAACATCAAAGACCAAGTCTGGCTGGCCACAACGCCGGTCGACAAGACAAGTGTCGTCGTTGCTTTACCGCGTCTGTACAAAGCGAGTACAGCCACGAAGAGGCCGACACTGAATACTTTTACTGGATCAAACGCCGGCCGTCTCGGACAAGATAAACCTACTCGGAAGCAAAGATCTCGATTTGAATGGATGGGATCAATTTAATTTTGTGAGATAATTGACTATATATATATATATTTCTCGAGAAAAAATCAATTATGTTTGGGAGAAAATTGCAAAGAGAACTGCATTTCTTTCTGTATGGTTTTAGATCTACCAAAGTTAATGAGTTATCAAATTGGATCAAGTTTATATCTAAAACCAATTATGACTTGACACAAAGGTCAATCAATGTGCCAACTTGGTGTATTATAAAATAAATATTTTATTATTAAAATATTTAATCTTCTGCAAGGTTACAAAATGAATATATATATATATATATATATATATATCCAAAATCAATAGGCTATAACCCATTGAAACTAACATAGCATTGAGTAAATTGAGAGTCCCAAGAGATAAATGTCTATCTATGTGGCTAGAGCCACTACTACTGGTTTAGGTCTCCCATGCACTTTGATCATAAGCTATGTTTAAATCTTAATAAATTTTTGATGATTTAAATTTTGATAATAATATTAAGCCTATATGAGGGAGATTATAATAATCCATTTCTAGGGACTAGATGAGGTTCCTACGTTTGCTTGCGCTTAAGCATTTTAGTTAGATGGTCTGAGTTTATTAAATTAATAAGTCAATTATTGATACAAGTTCTATTGGGTTAGTGAAAGATTCAAATAAATAAAGTTAGACTATTTAATCAAGTTAGTCCTTATGTACACAATACTAGGGTTTGATTATGGATTATGTTTGATTTTGATGAGGACCTCTGAAAAGTTTGTCACATGCTAAGTTTATACTTGAATAATTCCAACCAATATATTCTATTTGCACTTGTCTGATCTTTGTATCACTATTTCTGTTATTATTTTTTATCTAAACTAGTATGATAAGTATTTATAATCATTCAAAATTTGTTATTAAAGCCTAGTTAACCCAAAAATGATGATATCATAATTAGACATGTCATATCAATATAACATACAAAGTAAATTTTTTTATTAAAATATTTATTTTTTTTCTTAATCATGAATAATTATAAAATAAATTTAATATACAATATCTTTTCAAATATTCATAACTCATTCTAAACTCTCAAACCATCCATGGGTTATTTTCACATAATATGAATAAGCATTGACTTAAGTATTAAATGAGCCATGCTAGGAATACCCTCCCTTATTGGACATGGTAAAATCTTGCATCTAACCAAGTGGCCTTAAGGGTTCAGGTTAAAGCTTCTCGAATAGACACATTCTATTATCTATTTTCCATATTACACTAAAGCAATTTTCTACTCAATTCTAAATATGACAAAATAAAAAAAAAAAGACTAAGTCAAATCATCATGTCGAGTTGATGACCAAAATTGACATAATAAATTGACTCTCAAATGAGAGAGTAAAGAAAATATTATGAAAAATTAAAATTAAGAACCCCTCAAGGATATCTCAAGAATGAGACTCCTCCCTCAACCTTTAAGTAACTAACCCCGGATAAGGAGCACTTTTCCTATGGGAGTATTTAAATCAACTTAAGCTTAGTTTTACAATCATCATCTCTTTAATAACCTTAGACTCTCCTCCTATTGAGAAATCTTCTCAATCATGAGAGCATTTAAATCAACTCAAACTCTATCCCATAATTATTATCTCTCTAATAACCTTAGACTCTCCTATTAGAAAATCCAACCCACATTCCAACTTATTAAGATTTTTCTTTAACTTACTCAATAGGTCTAATTCGAGATATATTATAGACTATCATTGTTCTTCTCCTACTATTAATATAGCTAGTAGTGGTACAAAACCTAATGCCATCAACTATTTAGTGTTACAAGAAACTCTATGATGGTTGTATCGATAATCAATCATATGATATATATGCATCTAATGAGATTAACAATATGCCCCAATCACAATCGATTTAGCCTGAATCTATGACACACTATTAATGAGATGAATTCTGTCTTGCATAAATAATTAAAAAAAATGAATATATCCTTGATAACATGAGATACAAGATATAATTCCAAAATGATTAAGCAAATCTCCAAAATGATACAAGATGAGCTCATTCCTTTCAACTTTTATTCTTCAAACCCTAAGACTTTTGATGGAAGTGGCAATCCTATTGAGTGTGTGGTCACTTTTAGGGTGCGAAGTGATCCTATACACCACTTCTAATGTGGTTATATTGATGATTTAACCTACTACTTTAGGGTAAAACACTTGAGAGTAATACTCTACTCTCCCTCATATTATATTATCATTCAAATAGTTAGCAAAAGAGTTTGATCTCCACTATACTACTATTTAATATCCAAAAAGGGTTGTGATAATCCTATTAATCATTCGATAAGGTAAAGTTGAGTCTCTAATTGGCTACATCATGAGATTTAGCAATGATACTCAATAGCTAGTCGACTCTCACCCTTCTATGTTAATCCACACCTTCATCAATTATCTTAAATCATTTAAGTTTTTTAAGTTGATCATAAAAAAGACTTATAGTAAACTTCCTTGAAAATTAGTATTAAAGTAGATGATATATTCTAATTAGGAAAATTATTTTCCTATGTAGGATGCATCTTTATTAATCAAGGAATTTTCTCATGCATGATGCATCCTCCTATGATATAATATTTAATCATTTGATATATTCTAATTGAGCAAAGTATCAGCATGCATTCAATGCATGCACCTAAGATATAAGCATCAAACTAGCTAATGTATCTTAATTGGGCAAATTATCTTCCTATGTACGATACATTCATCTAAGATATAAGTATCAAAGTACATTATATATCCTAATCAAATAAAGTATCCCCCTACGTATGATGCATTCATCCAAGATATAAGTATCAAAATATCTAATACATCCTAATTAAGCAAAGCATTTCCTAAAACATGATGTATAAGCATGGTATATAATCATCAAAGTACCCGATGCATCGTAACTATTAAATGCATCTCCCCACTCACTGTATTCTTACAAGGTCAAACATTTCCATATATGTGATACATTCATCTCAAGATATCAATATCAAAGCATCTAATACATCTAATAAGTCAAAACATCTCCCTACGCATAATGCATCTACTTTAGATATAATCGTTAATGCATTTGATACACCTTAGCTTGGAAAACATTCATCGTATATGAATTATCTATTTTGAACAAATCCATTTGGAGCATCCTCTAACCACTTTTAATATAAGTGATAACTATTTAATTCTCGATAAGAATATTATGCTTTGGCATGGATAAACACCTTAATGCGAAGCATAATCAAGGAAGAATAAATAGCCTAATTAACTCAAAATGATAATGTGCCACATTAGCAAAGTATAAAAATAAATATTTTCTCATTAGGATATCAGATCATTCTAAACTGACATCAATTATAGAATAAATATTATTAAAAAAAAATTCTCCAAAGTATAACCTTATATCTAATTTTCTGAACACATCATCTTCATCTTTTGTCTAATATAAACATGCACAAACCATTGGCTCGGTTTCTCTTTCATCTTTGAAGATCATGCGGTAGGTCCAAATAATTAATATTCCATAGAGGAATATTTTCTTTGCTGTTCATCCAAAAGCAGCAATCAAAACTTTTATTAGCAGTAATCATGCAAATAAAACATAGAGTGATTAGCGTTTCTTGCATAATTCAAATAATAGATATTAAACTGATTGCATTCAGGTAATCTAACTTACAAAAGCCAAGTGTGGATTCAAAATAAAATAAGAAAAGACATGGATCGAAATGGATCAAACATAAGGAAACAGACAAGCTATGATTTTGTTTTCACTCGTTATAGAATCAACCTACGTTATATATGTTAATGCATGCCAAATTAAAAGATGATCTGACATCAAGATTTACAGGATCATATGCACACTTGTCTATGTTCTTCATCTTCTTCTCATGACAGACATGTTGGGGAGAAGAAAGAGATGTGGAGTAGAGAGCACATGAGCGAGTGCACATGGAGGCAGAGAGCCGGCAGCAGCGGCTCCTCCGTCTTCTTCCTCTATTTCTCGGAAGGCGCAGGAAGAAGGAGCGGTCACAAGCAACTCCTTTGTTTATTTATGTTGTTGTACCAACCATGAATGAGGAATCTGATACAGTGATTGCATCGACTTGATCTAACATTAACAATGATATTAATATTAAGATTTGATTCATAGTTATTTAAATAATTATCATGATCTAATAGTTACAAAGTGATTTCAATAATTATCTGATCTATAATTATCTCAATAGTTATAGAATGATTATTATTATGTCCTATAAATAGGACTATAAATGTTCTTGTCATTATTCCTGTTTTTAAATACTTCATCAGTTTGCTCGAGTCGAACATATTTTTTTTACTCACATCGTAGTATTCTGTTTTTTCTTTGCTCCTCCATACAACAAATCCTCCGGCTAATCTAATCCATGCTATCTTAGAATCTGAACAATGAAAGAACAATAGGTAAAATATTAATTTGACCTTTAAGAAAATAACTTTTTTAGGTTAAGAATATAAAAAATATATAACTTTTTTATCAATTCAATAATAGATTACTGAAATTTTTTATGATAAAATGGATTCATATTCCCAATTTTAGTGAACTTGTTTTTATCTTAAAAAAAAAGAAATTTGTGTGGTAAGCTATCTCAAATATTTATTTGAGTACCAAATTATAGACAAGTAAGGAAGGGATAGAGGAATGCAGAACTACATATTTATGACTATCTGAACACATTTCTTTGTCTATATGTTTGTCACAATTAGAGATGGCAAAAAGCAACCAAAGGGAGGTGGGAGGTAGAAGAGACCACTCTACAAGCAGGCAGCAGGGAAATGATCACACCTAGTCTCTTTTTGTTGGTCACCTCCTTCTCTGTGCTGCTTTTATCTCTTACTGAGCTATCCTTTACAGAAATCAGTCTGCTGTTTGTCCTTTCCTGTTCTCTTCTTCTGTTTGGTGTCTGTGAGATGGTGGAGTATCTTAATGGATTGGATGGTGATGAGAAGCTGCAGTAGTGGCAGATGGTAGTAGTAGCAGTAGCAGTAGTAGTATATAGCTGATTCTGGTTACTGAAGCTGCTCCTTTCCATGACCTTGTGCTGTGGCATAGAATGGATTACCTATGGAGCTTAGTAGCTTACACTATAGAAGGTTACAATCAAACTCCTCATTGCTTTTTCCTGCAAGAAAACATTCTAAGATCAACGATAAGCAACTCCCATAACCTGCATATTATTTGACTGTTTGATTCTCACTGTGATCCATGGAGGGCTTCCTCATTACCAACTCTACATTCCAATGGCTCCATGAGTGGAGGAGACCCTGGCATATGAAGAACCAGAAATGGACTGTAACATCCTTCCATCCGCATGAAGAGAACATCAAACTAATCATCTTACCTTGGCATTTGGAAGAAGCATGATTTGTGGGAAGCCATGTCCAACGTGGAAGAGGATGGTGGCAATGTAGAGGCAATCAGGTAGGTGTTGCTGCTGCTACTATCGTTCACGGAAGCAGCAGCGGCAGCTGCCATCTCCATTTCAGGGACGGAGAAAGGATCGGGCACGATCGAAGATTTTTTAGGCGAGGCGAAGGGGCTATCGGGCAAGTTATGCTCGGCGCTGCATCCATGGTTTGCAAACCGAAACAATTCAGTCATGGCATCGACAGGAGAAGAAATCACAATGTAGAGATCGAAAGAGGCAATGGGTTTGGATTGTTTAATGGTATATTACCTTTCATGGATATCGCCATCCTTGTTGGGGTTTGCCTCATCACCAGATTCCTTCTTATCAGCAGAGTTGACCGTCTTGTGTTCGCGGAAGCCATTGCAGCTGTTCATCTTCTGGACTGCTCATACCAAGCAAACAGGATTGACTTGCGCCGCCGAGAAATTCCCAACTTCTAAACAAAGAAACAATTCACCGGTAACTATTTGTTCATCATGACCCAGCTCACCTCCGGTTGGTGATTGTTCTTGGCTGCTGCTGCTGCTGCTGCCGCTGCTGCTCGGGGTATCGGCTGTAGGTATAGTGATTGCTGGAGCAGCTTTGATGGTGGGAGAGTTGACGGAGGCGGGGGCTGAGGAGCACAGAGTCCGGTTCTTGAGGTCGAGGAGCTGGAGATTCATGAGTCTCCTCGCGTGCAGCTCGATGGCCTGCTGCAGTTCCAGCGCTTGCTGCTGCTCCTCCAGCTTCCTCCGCAGCAGTAGCTCCTGACTGCTGCTGCCGCTGTTGTACAGCATCCTTGCTGCTGCTACGTCATCCAGCTTAAGCTTCGGTAAAAGCTAAAGAGAAACGAGCAGAACGACCAGAAGAAGATCTAAGAATCTAACCAAGCTGTTGAAGGTCAAATTGATCTCTGGATTCCAGGCCGGTAGGAGTCGTACATGCAGCGAAGTCGCCCCTCTCAGTCTGCTGCTGTTGCGGCTTCCTGAATGAGAGCAGGGGAACACATCATTCATCGTAGGCAGCGATGAGCAACGGAAACGAGCATTTGATGGAAGGAGGAGGAAGAAGAGTGCCTGCACTTGTCGGGGACCTTCCCCTTCTCCTTGTAAGGCTTGACGAGAACCCGAGCATCGCAGACGAAGTGGGGATTTCCTTTAGCCAGGATCAGCTTCACCGTCTCGGGGTAGACGAAGGTGACGAACCCAAACATTCGCTTCTGCTGGAACGGGATCCGCACGTCCTGTACTGGCCCGTAGATGCTTCCGATTCGAACGACGAAGATTGAAGCAGAGATCAGCGAGATTTGGACTGATGATTGAGCTCGGAAGCTGATCTACCTGAGAGAACGAGTAAGAACCAACCTGAAGTAGTTGGAGACGTCTTCTTCGGTGAAGGTGCTGTCTGCGGGGAAGGTTAAGTAGATCTGCCTCGACCCAGGATTGGTCATCCCTGCGAAATCGCCCCTCTCCATCCTCGTTCGCATTAGCGCTGCTGCCGCCGCCGCCGCTGCGGCCCTGTGAAGGACCAAAGCTTCTTAGCTTCCACTGTCGACAGACAAAATGCCGAAGAAAGGTGCAAAAACGTTAGCGAAAGGAATTGCTGCCTTGGGCTATCGCTTGGCTGCTGCTGGAGCAGGAAGTCGAGGCATTTGCTCGTGGCTGATGGAGAGGAGGGCAGGGAACCAAGCGGGGAGTAAGGGAAGGCCGACGCAGTCAGCTGCGACGCCCCGCCGCCCCCGATCCTCTGGCTCTTAGATCTCAGCAGCAGCTCCTGGCACTGCTGCTCCACCGCAGCGTCCATTCTCGCGCCCGCAGCTACCGCCGCGACGGTCTCGTCCGGCAGATCATGGAGGAAGCGACACGCGGTCCCGTCCTTGCAGTAACCTCTGGCGAAATAGAGGCACGGCTTCCAACTGAATCCCGCGGCTGCGATGGCGTCCGAACGAAGGGGGAGATCAGCAGCGGACCAGCTCCGGCGATGGTGGTTTCCGTTGACACCCCATCCCATTCTATAAGGAAACAGCAGCCCGTCTCCGCTGCCGCTCGGACTATGAGACCCGATGTCCGGACTGAAGAGATCGCCTCCGCCGCCGGCAGCGACGGATCTGGGGCCAATAGGAAGGGAGTGGCAGGGGGCCTGATCGTGGAGGAAGGAGAGCTGGTCTTGGAGGTGGAACTCATCGACGAGCGAGTCGCCAGCGGTTCCGCAGCCGTTGAAGAAGGGAGAGGGACTCGGGCTGCCGGGGCTGAGGAGCTCCTCGGAGGCCTGGAGCTCCTCCAGGGACCCGTTCAGAGCGCCGTTCGCTCTACCAGCGCGGGAGAAGACAGGCGGCGGAGCGAAGGAGGTGGGGGAGGAGACTAAGTTGGTAGAGAAGCGGGAAGAGGAGTTCTGGCGAGCCAAAAGGCCAAAGGGAGAAGGGGAGGCGACGCCACCTGCGGCAGGAGAGGTAGCGGAGGAGGAGGAGGAGGAGGGGGGCGGAGCAGGGGCGGCAAGGCCGAGCTCCTTGCGAGCCTTGAGGACGACGGAGTGGAGGAGGGCCTCGGGGCCGAAAGCCAGGCGGATCATCTCCTTGTCGCCGTGCTCCTGGATCAAGATGTACCCCATGATCTTGGCCGCGTTCACCGCGTCCAAGCTCTGTATCCTCGCCAACACCACCCTCGTCGCCTCGTACACGTCCATGATGATGCTCTCTCTCTCTTTCTCTCTCTCTCTCTCTCTCTCTCTCTCTCTATCTTCCTTCTCTACCAGAAGTTTCTCTCAGCTGCCATTTCAACATCCATATTAGAGGAAGAAGACAGTAAACCTGAAGCATGTATCTGAAGAGACACCAACTTGTGATTGAAGACGGTGACTTCCTACTTAATATACGACTAGCAGTGATGGAGGAGGACACACCATTTTCCACAGAGAAAGAGAGAGGGACAGAGGTAAGACGGGGCACTCAACCATTAATGGAGCAGTCTTCGGTCGCAACCCCACCGTCGGCTGTTACTTCTCCCGGCACAGCCTTGGCGTTGTTTTCTACATAACATATTCCATCTCTGCCTCTTGTTCTTTAATTTGGATAGATCTGCATCTTCTCAAATAGAGGAGCACGTTCACCCTCCTCCACCTGAAACCCTTTTCTCTCTCTCTTTCTCTCTCCTTTAGAGAGGCCCAGGCTTTGGGTGAGTCTCCCTTTCCCCTCGCACACACACACACACACACTCACTCGTTCTCTTTTTCTGGTCTCTTCAATCTCTGTCCTAGTGCTGCTAAATTCCCTGTTCCCTAAGCCATCATTTGGGTCTCCAGGGCTCACTGTCCCCTTCCCTCTCCTTTCCCAATCTTTATTGCTGGCTTTCTGGTGGCGGACTGCTGGCAGTGGGAACGTTGCCCTCTCAAAATCATCATCAGTGCTATTATTACTACGACCTACTGCATTCAGTCTGATAGTTGGATGACATGCGAGCAGCTTACTGTAAGCACGGAAGCTTAAGATCTCAGCAGTAGAGAAATGAAATGACAGTGGTGAATGCGGTCAACCGGATTTTGATTTGGATATCATAGAATCCAACGCCCCACGCAGTGCTGCTGCTCTCTTCTCTCTTCTTTTATATGTGCGCTTGTTTCTTTGTGCAGCTTTTACCACTGGCTTTAGAGGCGTCACGCCGTGGTCTTGTTGTAACCATGCACAACGCAACACATGTGCCTTCACTCCTCTTTCCTTTTGCTTTTCTTTTCTTACATGTTACTGCAACAGCAGCAGCCGCTGCTACTGCTGCTGCTGCTGCTGCTGCTGCAGCGGTGTAAGTTTTTGGAGCTTTCCCTCCCTCTGCGTCTTTTCTTTTCATTGGAGTGCGGTCCGAGAGAGAGAAGAGAGAGAGAGAGAGAGAGAGAGAGAGAGTCACATGGAGGGGGTGGTCATCACCACCTAAAGCTCCAAAAGAACCCCATTCACGGATGCTGGTTTCAAGCCTGTGCGTAACCCACACGTGCATGTGCGTCGGCACGTGGGAACAGCATATGGGGGTTCTCTTCATCTCCAATTTGTATATAGATTAAAAAAAATAGAAATTAATTAAAACCATCTGCTTTTTTTCTTTTTTTACCTCCAAAAGTATCCAATGATTGGAAAGTTGACACCCTAACTTTTTTATATTTCAAGTTCAATTTAGATGGACCAAAACTAATTCAGTGTTGAATCCAATCCATTATAATATTTAATTTTTTTTTAATTTTTTTTTTATTTTTATCTTTTTAAAAAGTATTTTATGTTTTTATTTTTTTAAATAATATTTCTATTTTGAATAATATGGAACATGTCATCGTAATGATATTATTTTCGTTAGTTTCGAAGATACCCGAAGATACCCTATGGACCAATCTATAAAGTATATTAATATAAGTGGATGGACCAATGAATTCATTATAGTATTTGAGGTTAGGAATACATTTGATTATTCTTGTATAGATTTTATAGTATTTTTTATTATGATGATCAAGACATCATAATAGATCAATTCTTTATCTACATTTGGCTGTTATAAGTATTTATTTGAATTATAGTATGATATATCAAATATCTATTAACAGTGTTTTTCAATAGTATAACAGTATTTTAGTTAAAGTGTTGAAAATATTTAAAGTCGGAAAAAGATATCATATCATATCTTTTTTATTATTATTGCTTATAAACTATTATGATATCAATATTTTTAGACTTTTAGTTTGTTTAGTTGCGGTTTGAGTCTATTTGGGTTAGTTATAGTTTTTACAAATATATTTAATATGGATTTTATTGTGATGGTTAAAACATTATAATAAGGTTAATTTTAATGTTGTTTGTAAACTATTATAAAATTTTTTATTTGAATCCTAATATAGTATATCAAATAATTTCTAATGTGTTTTGATTTCATTTGACTCATGTACAATACTTTTCAATAAAGTCATAGTTTTTTTGTTGAGATGTTAAAAATATTATAAAGCTATTAAAAAAAAATACTATAAGTGATATCATATCTTTGATTGTCATTACTTATACATCATTACAATACAAATTTTTATATTTATAATTAAATTTATTGAAGTTAGGAGTGTATTTGGATTATTTATAATGCTTTCGAGTATATTATTAGTATTTTTATTGTGATTGTGATGATCAAAACAAACTATTCAATTTTTTCATAATTTACACTATTTCTATTCTTTTTTATGCATGAGAATGACAATAAGAATGAATAAGAATTACCCAATTGTAAAGTGTTTTGAATGGAATTATACTCTTTTATCTACTGAACCAAAATATTATAACTTCATTCAAAAATATAATAGTTGTTCGAATATAATATTAGATCAATTCAACTAAAAATCTGATTTGTTTTGGCAAAAAATTTTCATATATTAATAGTATTTAGTCATTTTACAAAAAATAAGAGCTCGCTAAAAGGAAAAAGAGGGTTTGATTAGGAAGAAAATAAAATGTTAATTTTTTTAAAAAAAATCAAAAGTTAAACCAAAGTCAGAAACTTTTGCCCAAAAGAATTCTTTCTTCAACCTTTTCTATATCCACTACTGATAATGTCTTATTCTATATCTCTTTCTTTCATCAACACCTTAAGACTCAAAGATATATTTATGAAAACAAATCATAATTTACTAATAACTACTAAAGATGTATATTTATAACAATTCCTACTTAGATTCCTAATCTAGATCCTAATCCTAATCCTAATCCATCAAAGAATTAAGATCTAATTAAGACTCCTTCAAATAATTTGAATATAATCATAACTCTAATAGCACTCGAGTTACATAAAATTCATCTTCAACATATGTTAAACAAGCAATCATCATTTTAGTATGCATCAAGGATCCACATATACTGACTTGATGATGTGACATCTTAATCATGATGCGTGCTTTAGTCTTGCCAATCATATAAATACTCTATTTCAGAAAAAGTTTTCTTTTTATTTAATTTTTGTGATGCAAAATGATGGAGTTGTCATTTTAAAGAGGCAGCATCTTCCTACACTTTCAAAGCAGACCAATCAAACCCAATCCAGCGTAATCTATGTCTGATTTTGGTGGGACAATTTCATTGACTCCAATCGCCTCAGCCAAATGTCATCACTGAATCACTAGTCGGGTTAAGTAAAACTAACTGGTATTTTTTCTTGAGTTGCTATTTTAGATTATATCGGATTAAAATGGAAGAAAAGGTTTTAAACCAACAAGATTTGGATCGCTCGTTGAAGTACAACTTGTCAAGCAACATAATGACTCTAACAAAATGCTAGTTCAGGTGAATTAGACATTACCCATAGGTATTCCATGAATACTAGGAGCTACAAAATAGAGTTTGATAGAGGTTTTTGTTTGGATGGAACGCGATAAGAGACAATTTGGTCGGTCGATCATTGGTACGATCTGTAGGCTCGCGAGGAATTATCCACTTTGGATGATGAGATTTTGTCATTTCGGAACATGTAAGCTTCAAAAGACACTTCTAAAAGTAAAAGAGACATAATAGACTTATGGGCATTTGGTTCCTATACTCCTCAATCAATGTGGGACTATGAGCCCTTAGCTCTCTTATGGGAGGGAATACTGATAATGTCATTTAGTTCCACATTGGTTGAGAAGTATGGAAACTAAAGGTTCATAAGTCCGTTAGATCTTCCTTACTCTCAAAGATGATTTTTGGAGTTCACATGCTCCGAAAGGATAAAATCATGCGGGTACACCCATCTTCCAAAATAGATAATTTTTCTAGTGTAATTTAATCACTAAATGTAGGAGTAAAATCATGTTGATTTTGCATAGTTCATAGGATAAAAATTGATGTATTTTTTTTATTAAAAATAATACTATTCGATATGTTTATATTTTATGTAAAATAATATGATCTCTCATAAAGAGTTACTAAATCATTCATTACGAGAGTGATGAATGGGTTTGAACAATAAAGATAAACTCAATTAGTGTTAAATATTATTGATTGGGTTTGAACAATAATAAAGATTATACTATAATGTTAAATAAAGTCTAAAAAAATTATTTAGGTAGATTCCATCGCACATGAACTAAATAGGCAGTGGTTACATTTATAAAAACTGGATCGAGGTGATTATATTAGAAAAATCAAGAATTAGACCATTGATCAGTCCAATCTACATACTAAATTAGTGTTGTTTCTTTTTATCTTTTGATAAGTTGATCATATTAATTTTATAATACACTCATAATTACTTAAATATTCAAGGATATTTTTATTAATTTAAAAATAAAGTTGAGCTTCTAAAAGAAATATTTCTTCTTATTTTGATCGTCCCTCTCCTTCTCTATCTTCTTTGCCTCAAGTATTTCTTTATGTTGCTTCTCTCCTCCAGATAAAATCTATCTCTGGTTCATTTCTTTTTATTTATCATTATTTTTCTTCTAATAATCTATTTTTTAAAAAAAATAAAAATATATTTAGATTTGTTTGAATATTTTCTAATGTTAAATATATATTTAATTAAACATGTACTTAACTAAATCATTTTAATTGTTTGATTTTGATAAGTAATCATAAGTATGATTATAACTTCCTAATTTGAAGCTTTGATGCTTCATGTGAATATTTATTTCACGTAATACTTTGCCAACGTAATTTGAAGTATGATTATCTCAAAAAAATTTAAAATTTTATTAAAAAGATAAAAACTTATGAATAATGCTTCCTCTCATGTCATCTAAAAGGTGGTTAATTACATATTACTCTCGAACTCGGATCCTTCTAGCATCATATTATACTTTTAAAAGTTATATTGGACTCTCCGTGCTCATTAAATTATAATAATTCATCTCATTTTCTATAACATTATCTACTGTCCTGACGGAAGACATTGCATATGACATCACATGTTGAATTGGTGTGACGGAAGACATTGCATATGA